AATATATTTATATAATATAAATTTATGTACTATAAATATAATATATAAATAAGATGTTCATTGTACTAATGATGATTTCTATAATTTCCAATTTTTCTTGTGTTGTTGGTCTTTTGTTTTTTTCAAGACAGGGTTTCTCTGTGTAGCCCTAGAGCTCACTCTGTAAACCAGGCAGGCCTTGAACACACAGAGATCCACCTGCCTTTGCCTCCCGAGTGGTGAAATTAAAGAAGTGTGTCACCACTGCCCAACAATTTCCAGTTGTTTAATCTCATCATGAAAAGCGATACGGTACTGTGTGATATATTTTATACGTGTCATTTAAGCATATTCACAATGACTTTTTCTCGGCTTATACTCAGAGGTCGCATTGTTGGGTCAGTGGAATTTTGTATAATTAGAGGCATATTGCTAGCTTTCTCAAAAAGTTGTGTATATTCTCCCCAGCAGTGTGTAGAGTCATGGTTTGAACATATTCTTTTTTTTTTTTTAAAGATTTATTTATTTGTTTATTATGTATACAACATTCTGCCTCCATGTATGCCCGCACGCCAGAAGAGGGCGCCAGATCTCATTCCAGATGGTTGTGAGTCACCATGTGGTTTCTGGGAATTGAACTCAGGACCTCTGGAAGAGCAGCCAGTGCTCTTAACCTCTGAGCCATCTCTCCAGCCCCTTGAACATATTCTTGAGCTCAGTCAGATTCCTGTGATTGGAGTCTCAGTGGCTCAGTTTGGAGCAGGTGTCTGGCCCATCACAGTGAAGGAACAGGCAGTCACATGGCACAGGCATGCTTTAGGGAAGTCTAGCATCCTCTAGTTGAGAGCAAGAAAATGGGAGAATGTGTGAGCCAGGGAAGCTACCTCAGAAGGTTCCAGCCGTGTATACACAACTTAAAAAGAGACTCCAGGTTGTAGACGCTGTGTCGAGCTAACAGCCCAGCAATTCAGCTGGGACTATGTGAGCGGGGAGGTACTGCTGATCTCTCGTGGAGTAAGAGAACAGAGGTTGTTTCTCATGGAATTCATGTGTTTGAATATTTGGTCCAGAGGGAGTGACAGTATTAGGAGGTGTGGCCTTGGTGGAGGAAGTGTGTCACTGTAGGGGTGGGTTTTGAGATCTCATATGCTCAAGCTGCGCCCAGTGTGGTTCGTAGTCATCTGTTGCCTGTGGGAACACACAGAGGTGATCTGTTCCACCTTGACTAAAGGTCAGAGAGTTCAGAACTATTCTTGCTCCTTCAAGGTTATATGAAAGGAGGTTTGACCCAAGGTGTGGCTACTAATATGGTATTTGGACCTAGGGTGTGGTTACTTGATGCTTTGAGTATTGAGAAAGGTTCTTTCTTTGTATCTTTTTGTTTGTTTGTTTCTTTTTTTGTTTCTATTTTTTTTGTTTGTTTCTTTGTTCTTTGGATCTTGGTAAAGAAGCCTCTTGCCTTCTCCCTCCTCTTTGGATTGGGGTAGATAAAGCCTATGAGAAATAAACACGGGGCAGAATCTCACTATTTACTGGATGCCCTCCTGACTCTATGAGTTGTCTCTTATCTGTCTCTTTCTTAATCCCCACGCTTCCCTCCAACACAGCGGAATAAGCCAGGTGGGACCAACCGATGTCACCCAGATGTGGAATATGACAGCTGCCTGTGGATCAAGATGTAAAACTCTCAGCTCCTTTTCCAGCGCCATCTGCCTGTATGCTACCATGTTTCTCACCATGATGATAATAGACTAAACTATTATAAATATAATGTAAACCAAAATAAATAGGAGCCAGCCCCAGTTAAATGTTTTCCTTTGTAAGAGCTGCCATGATCACCGTGTTCCTTCACAGCAACAGAAGCCTTAACTAAGACAGGGAATCTGAAAGCAAGTCTGGGAAGATGTAACCAGAGATCCAAGGCAATGGGGAATTACGGGAGACAGGAACGTTTAAAAGGGGAAGGGGGAGGGGGAAAAGTGGCTAAAGCTTCTGCAAAGTCAGTGATAATTAAGTTTTCAGTTGATCTACTAAGAAAGAAAGCAGAGCGTTAGGAGAGTGATTTCTGGGAATTGATGGGCGGGGAGCCAGCTGTATAGTCTGTAAGGAATGTGTGAAAGGCGAGGAGAGTGGTAAAAATGTAGCCAGTCTTTTCAAGGCAAGAAGGAAGAGGGTGTGGGCATGGACGAAGGCAGGGGAAGTGACCATGCTTTGTCCATCCAAGGGAAACTGTAGTTGAAAAATTACAGTTGAAAAACTGTAGTTCAGTGAAGTTCCTGAGTGGCAGGAGGGGCTAGGATCCTAAGTGAGTTTCAGTGAAATATATTAGACCTTAAGGATCCAAAAAGATGTCTTCCATAGTAACAACAAAAAAGTAGGCAAGAATGGTTAGTTTGATAGCAGAAGTTTTGAAGACTGGGTAGTCATTCAGCACTTAGTAATTGCTTAGTAAACATTAGGTAATTAGCTGTTGCCCAGATGGCATGTGATGTACAGTCACTATTTGTCGCAGCTCATTTATTATTTCTCTGTGCATCCAAATCTGTAGTAATCTGTCACAGCCAGGTTTACCACAGGGGTGCATCCCAGTTTAGAATCATGTGACTGCTAAAGGAACCCAAAAACATAATTCTTCTTTGTTTCCCAATATGGAGTTACCTCATTTACCATGCAAAGAGGTCTTGAGGCACATCTGCCGTATTTAAAAGTTGCGGTTAGCCTTGTGGACTGATTTGAATAAATGGAGTAACTATACACAGACTATTTGGATGCTAGATACAAGTATGAAGGCTTGGAACTGTATGTATATCTATCTATCTATCTATCTATCTATCTATCTATCTATCTATCTATCTATCTATCTATCTATATACACACACACACACACACCCATCTAGGTAAAAGATCTTGTTTGAGATAGTAGATGATAGCTCTATTAATTTGATTGTCTACAATAATTATTGCTTTTGAGACATATTATGTGTCTATATTTTGGTATTGTTTTCAAACCTTGAGCCATTTACTTTAAATATTTATTTTCGGGGTACTGAGTACTTGAACCCAGACCCTTAAGCACTTTGGGCAGGTACTCTCTCACTGAACTGCTATATTCCCTTTTCTAGTGTCTCAAAAAAAATCATCATTTATTTTTCAAAGGCAATTTGAAAATTGAGCAGCCAAATGTTATTAGCAGCCAAGATTTTTTTCCCCTAAGCCAGTTTCCAGCTTGTATCTTAAATCTTTTTTTAAAGTAAACGACACGATCTAAGGATACGTGTGAAATAAAATGAGCCATCCTGAAAAGAGTGGCGATCTTGTGGGTGTGGTGAGGGCAAATTACAGCGCTCGTGCTGGGACTGGTGTCACCGGCAGGCTGCGTGGGGCAGGGTAATGAAAGCATCCTTAAAAGGCATCTATTGCAAACACGCTGCTTTTACTTTTCTAGACTAATATTTCACTGCTGCTTTTGAACTAAGATGCTTAAATAAAAGCTGCTCCTCTGGCTTAGAATTGTTTTGTAAATTATGCTAGTTCCTGCTGGGGTACGCTTCCTACGCACGGCTCTTCTCAAAGGAAAGGTCTGTTCCGTTTTCATTGGACATTTTACTGCACACAGCCCCTCCCAGAATGTACAGGTGCACACACATCTGTTGCCCCCATACATATACATAGAGCAGTATAGCAAGTGTAAATTACATGTAAATACATAGTAAACATTTGTACCGTTTGTTACTGTTTTGATATAGGGTCTTACCTGACAGCCTCGGACTCAATGTTCAAGGGGCTGGGAGCAGGCAAGCTGACTAAGAGCCCTGCCTGTCCTTCCAGAGGTCCTGGGTTCGACTCCCAGCATCCACGTGGTGGCTTCCAACTGTCTAACTCCAGTTCCAGGGGATCTGATGCTCTTGTCTGGCTTCTGTGGGCATTGGGCATGCGTGTGGTACATAGAGATATAAGCAAGAAGAACACCCAAGCAAATAAAATAAAAATAAGTAAATCTAAAGAAGAAATTTTAAAAGGAAAGTCAGGGTTCATACATGCACACACACACACACACACACACATACTCACACGCATGCACGCACACGCGAACACACAGGGGCACAGTCAGGGTTTGAGTTAAGATTGAGATTGGTTGCTTTTTGTATATCCCAATTTTATTAACTCTGTACAGACTCTGCCACAGTAAAAGTAATAGCATTATAACATTCGTTATACAAACTTGGAGATCTCCTATGTATGTTTGTTAACTGTGGTATATCCATTTTAAGGAGTCAAAGCCAGGTGTAGTAGTGTATGCCTTTAATACCACACTTGAGAGACAGAGGCAGGTGGATCTCTGTGGGTCCGAAGCCAGCCCGATTGACACAGAAAGTTCCAGAACAGCCAGTCTCAAAATAAAATTTTTTAAGTAATTAGCTGTTTTTCTTCTGGATCTTGATAATAGGTTATACTTTTAGAAATAAAATTCAAATGAACAGCCTTAAGTTAATGTGACAGACGATGTTTGCTGCAACTCATTGCCTCTGATATGTCTTAGTCACTGTTCTACCAGTGCAAAGAGACACCAGGATCAAGGCAACTTATACAAGGAAGCATTGCATACAGTTTTAGAGGATTAGTCTGTGGTCATCATGGTGGGAAGCACTGTGGCAGGCAGGCATGGCACTAGATCAATAGATGAGAACTTACATCCTATCCGCAGGATGGAAGCAGAGAGAGACTGGGCCTGGTGTGGGCTTTTGAAACCTCAAAGCCACCCCCCCCGTGACACACCTCCTCCAATAAGGTCACACCTCCTCCAACAAGGCCACACCCCTAATCATTTTTAAACAGTTTCATGAATTGCAGACCAAGCATTTATCTATGAACCTATGGGGGGGGGCATTCTCATTCAAACCACCACAGCAGGCCTGTGTGGGGCACACGTACAAAGTTCACATTCCACCATATAAGAGTCCTATAAAGACTCTTCTGAATTTTAGCTTTACCATTTTCTGAAGACACATTCTTTCTTACAGGTTTTATTTATGAAACTGTATGGAAACCCAAAATATTACCAAGCACTCTATTATGGAACAGCGTTGCCACCTGATGGTAAGTTTTCTTCTCACTTCTTTGATTTATTCTAACTTTATTTCCATTCTTTCGAATAAAGCAGGAGATGCAGTCTTGAGCTGAACACACTCTGCCTACCCCACCCCACCTACTAGTTGTCTTTGGTTTCTTGCCCTTCTGGTAGCATGATGTCATTGGTGATTCCTTTTGGCAAACTTCACTGCGTGACCTTAGGAACTGGAGATAAGTCAGACAAAGATGCGTGAGTTCCTGCCTTAAGAATCGGAACTCATTACCTGTGAAGACCTGGGGCAGATAATTATGATGCTGAGCAGGAGAAACTACAGCAGACTGTTAGAGACCAGCAGGCCTGAAATGGATACAATGGCAAACCATAGCACAATGCAGAAACCATGTAGTGACACAAATTTTGTAGGGATTCCGAGATCTATGAATTACTCATGTAAGCACGAGCATTCCATTACTTTACCTTATAAGGGGGATGGGAGGGTAATGCCTCTCCCAGTCACCATAGGCTGTCAATCAACAACCCAATGCTGGGTGGAAGTCATCTTTTTTGAATCATTGCTCAATGGCACAGTGTGCATGCAATAAGTCCGCAAAGGTCAAAAGAGTCCTTGGCTCTCCTGGAAATGGAGTTACAGACCATGTGAGCTGCCACAAGGATGCAGGGAACCAAACCTGGGTCTTCTACAGCAGCAGGCAGTGTTTTTAGCCACTAAGCCGTCTCTCCAGCCCTGATAAATTCTCGTGTTTTAAAGCTTTAAGGTTCTAACCTACACTTTTGTCTTCACAGAAATAACAGTCAGTTATCGACACGGCCTTCCCTTGGTGACCCTGACTCTGCCATCCAGAAGAGAGCGTTGTCAGTTTGTCGTCAAGCCGATGGTGTCAACAGTTGGCTCCTTCCTTCGGGACTTACACAATGAAGACAAAGGCATCAAAGCTGCGGCCATCACCACAGCAGGTGTGGATCTGTGCCTCTTAGCCCTCTACCTCCAGCCTGCTCTCTCTTCCCTTCTGCACGCCTGTTTTGGTTCTTTACTCTCCCAAAAAGAGCGTCATTGATAAGTTAAATCATTCTTTATATAACCGATGGCTACCCTTTTTGCAGCCCTTCCTTTTCACATGTCAGTACGATTAAAATAATAGCTCAAAGCCAGCACAGTGGTGTATGCCTAGAATCCAAGAACTGGAGAAGCTGAGACAGAAAGATTGAGAGTTCAAAGCTAGTCTGGGCTAGGTACTGAGACCATGTCTCAACAGAAAACAAAACAGAGCAAAGAGAAGAAAAGGCTTCATTTTTATTAAGTAAAAGAATATGGAATTAGTTTAGTGTAAATTTCAGTTATTCATTTTATAAACAGCCAGAGATTTTTTTCCTATGAGAAAATTTTAATATAATGGCATTAGCATGTAATTCTCAGCAAAACCTGATAAACTGGGGATAAAGTTTATTTTCTACAATTAAAATAGTTAGTAGAAAATTCACAGACAGTGAATTAATCTTTATTATAATGCAATTATAGTTAGGGAATGTTTTCATAGAATCAGTTCTTAGGAAAATACATCTTAATATCAGGAGTGGTAGTTAATCATTTATGTATTTAAGTATATGGTATGGATTTTATATTATCATGGCATGAAATGGTTTTAGACCAACTGCTCCTAAAATTACATAAGGAATTATTTATCTCAGTTCAATATTCAAAGGCCATTGGTAAATATACATCAATAAATTATCATTGTTATTTTATTGCATTAAAAGTTCTATATAAGCTTATTTAAAAGTTGGCAATCACTGTTGTAGTTTTGAAAAGAAAATAAGCAGGGGCCGGGGAAATGACTCAGCGCTGAAGAGTGAGATTCCAACACCCACAATAAGCAGCACTCAGTGTCCTGTAACTACACCTCTGGGGCATCTACCCTCACCTGGCCTCCACAGCATTGCATGCAAATGCACACACACACACACACACACATACACACACACACACACACACACACACACACACACACACACACCAACACATATGCACATAGTTAAAAATCAAAATTAAAGCTAAGAAAGAAAGAAAAATAAAGGTTTTTTTTTCCATAACCAAGCTAAGAACCAGCTAAGGGATACATACAGAAATTGGAAATGCGGAGATTAAAGAATTTATTCTTTTTACAAATATTTGTTGCACATCTAATGTATCAGGCCTTGTTGTAGATGCTAGAGACAGAGCAAAGAACCAGAGAGATAAAAGCTCCTGTCCTTAATAGAACTTAAATTTTAGGAGGAAAAAGAACCAAAATAAAGCAATACGTGTGCAATATGCTAATTAGTAAACATTAATGGAGGAAAGTAGGGTAGGGAACACGGGTGAGTCTCCAAGGTCACATCTGAGTAAAGATCGGGACAAGACGTAAAGAATCTGGAAAAGATGATGGGGGACCTGGAAGAGACGATGAAGGGGGCTGGGAGAAGACAAAGAGGGGGACTTAGAAAAGATAAGGGGGACCTGGAGGAGACAATGTGGCTTGGAGAAGATAAGGGGGGCCTGGAGGAGACAGTAGGGCTTGGAGTTAACGAGAGACCTGGAGTCTCCCAGCACTCAGGAGGCAGAGACACGTGGATCTCAGTGAGTTCAAGGCCAGCCTGGTCTACAGAGTGATTTCCAGGACAACCAGGGCAGGGTTACACAGAGAAACCCTGTCTAAAAAGAGAGAGAGAGAGAGCGCGCTGAATGAGACAATGGGGACTAGGACCTAGAAAAGATGAAAGGGGCTTGCAGTCCCCAGGAACTCTGGGGCAGTGGGGTTGGGTGAGGGGGGATTCTCAGAGGTGAGGGGAACAGGTTGAAAAAGGCTAGTGGGTTATTGTACAGACTTGAAGCTTCCTTCCTGCTTTGTGGCTGCAAGGAGTTTCTGAATAACTCAAACACTGGAGCCCTGGAAATGCAGGGGACTTCCTGCCACCCCTGGGACTCTAGCAGCAGACAGATGCATACGTAGATCTCAGGTGAGGCTGAATTGAGCAGTGTCTCCACAGAAGCATTCAGTAAGCCTTTGATAAATGAGTGAAAAGAGGCGGAAAAAAAATTGGTTGATAAAAATGGAAGATGGCCCTTGTTTTTCTCCCTCCAAATGACTTTAAAAACAGTACAAGGAAGCCAGAAAATCTGAAGTTTTTCTCTAAAAAGATTAGGAAATGGGGTTCTTTGAACCGAAGGTACCTTACTGAGGCTTTCAGTGGAAGTCATTAAATGCGAATTTTTAAATGACATCAGATAAAAATTCATTGTTTTGCTCTTTCGCTCTTTAAGAAAACAGAGCCAGTGTGTGGAATCTGCCCGTGTTTAATTTGCTCTTGAAAAGTGGATTCTGAAGCTACCATACCTCTGCCTATCTCTAGCCAGTCCCTGGGAACTTGGTCTCACCCCAGCTCAACAGGAACCCAGACATCCAGATTCTAGCAACAAACCCAAGTGCAGACCTGACTAGCTGCCTCTTGGGACAGTAGAGCCATTGAGCCTGATGGGAGGCAGGCCACCAGGCTCTTCTCTGCTGTGTGAGCAGACTTTCCTGGGTATCCTGGTTACTGTAGCTGAAACGGCTTTGGCTGAACGTCCAAGCAGAAAGCTGGCCAGAAGGAAACACATGCTCAGAACTTTCCAGAATGTGTTTCCCATAACTGTGTGTGGGCTGGTCTGAAAAACAGAAAGGACTCCCTGCCCGGCACGAGTTCTCCACTTCCAGCCCAGTGACTGCTTTCTTAACTCCTGACCTACAGGAGAGCATTCTGGGTTCTGGTTTTGAAATAGGCTCTATGCAAACTGGTACACAGTACCTTGCGGTTAAAACTCTCAGGAGACTTCCTCCTCCCCAACCCCCATATACCTGGATATTCCCAAATGCTAAACCAAAATGCAGGAGGCTGGAAGATCCCTGAAATAGAAGGGTTTCTCAAACAGCTATAATTGCGAGCTTAAAATCCAAGGACCAGGCCTTGAGACAAGTTCCTACAACTACCAGGGGCAAAGCTGGACAGCAACTTGGAGATGACCCCTGGACCTGGAGCTAATGGTATTGTCATGGTGGAAGGAGGGAAAGTGGGGCTTTAAACTTTCATTGGCTCTAGAGGAGAAGGTACCATGCGGTGGTGCTGGTAGGGAGCAATGATGGGATTAAGTCAAGGGTTAGGGAGCATTCAAGAATATGAACAATTGCATTGGTTTTATTACTGGGAAATTAAGAGTGAGGAGGTCTGCACCTCTACCCCATATTTCTAGAACCTTGATCCTCAGAAGACGAATTCATGGTTGAGGCAAGGTCAAGGGTTAGGAAGAAGTTTCAGAAAGTACACACTCAGGAGGGAAGGTGGACTTGCTCTGAGGTGATTTAACGAGTACTTTGTCATGTCTGGATGCAAGATAGAACTCCAGCCGTGTTCTGTAGGGGTCAGATTATACAGGTCCATATTCCTACATGGTATGGCAGTCAGAACGGAGCGACCTGGCAAGGCACGATTTGCACTTACCACACAGAAGGAAGTCGCCTAGCCTTTTGATAGTGAGACAACCTGACACCATCCTAAGCAAGTGGTCAGGATATGCTAATGTTGTTCTGCTCCTTGTATTGTGATTTAGGAGGTTGCCTAGGGAAGAGGTGTTTTTCAGTCTACATGACGGAACAGGCATAGGTGTGGACATGACCTAAGTCATTCTCCCCGCTACCTAGGAAACAGAACGCTAATGAACTTCCCCCTCAGTTTACCTTTTGATATAAAAGCTGTTTGGAGGATAAACGTGGGTGGATTTTCAGGATGTGAATTCAGGATTTCATGAAGGATCTCTGAAAACCCCCCTCCCAATATAGTCATGGGAGTTATGTTTTCATTCCCACACCTCCATTCTGGTATGAGAAATGGTTTATGTCAGGGCTGGTCCCCCATTAAATGGTTTCTTTGAAAAGTTTCCACGGTCAAGGTATCGCCTCATCGCAACAGAACCGCAGCTAAGACCTATTTGTGGGGCATTTCCTGATGAACATTCGGTACGGGCTCCTCCAGCCTGTGCTCTCTCTGTCTTTCTCCCGAAGAGGTAACTTCTGCCCTCTCTCCCCTCTTTCTCTCCTCCCCCTGCCTCTCTCTCTTCTTTCCCTTCTCCCCTTCCCCCTTTCTTTCTCCCCCCATAACCCACTAAATAAACTCTATGCCTCTCCCCCAAAAACAATCGGTATGGAGGGGCCCTGCCCACTGTAGGTGGTGCCACCCTGGGCAGGTGATTCTAGATGACACAAGAAAGCAAGGTGAAGAAGCCATGGAGAACAAGCCAGCAGGCAGTGTTCCTCTGTGGTCTCTTCTTCGGTTCTTGCTTTGGCTTTCCCCTATGATGGACTATAACCTATATGCCAAATAAATCCTTTCCTCCGAAAGTCCAGTGGCTTTTCAGAATAACAGAAAGCTATCTAGGACATATCCTATCTCAAAGAAGGGGGAAAAAATCTCCACAATCAGTGAGACATAAAGGGCTTACATAGTAGTCTCCACCCCCGAGAATGATTTCATCTAAATCAGTGTGGGCCTGGTTTATCTCAAACAAATCTTAAGGATGCCAGGCACATTCCTGGCTCTGACCACTGTTAGGGCTCCAGTCCTAAGATTCCATCTTCCGGGCTAATGAGTTTGTCTGCCTGAAGCACACTGTTAAACAACACAGAGCAACAGACCAGGCCTGCTAAAGGGTCATCCTGAAGGTTCAAGATGAATGCAAGGTCAACCTAGACAGGGCTGCTTCCTTGGCTCTGGCCCTGCTGTGGAATTCCCTCCTTGTTCATCTGGCACACTGGGAGAGGAACGCCTGCTTACTACATCTGGTCCAGGGGAATGGGAGGAAAGAAAGCAACTGGAGAAAATTCCCTAAGTAAAATGGGGAGCCACCTAGAAGGCGAATGTCCATGACCATATCCTAAAAAGCAGTCTTAGTGTTTGCATGTTGGGACCTGGCACCCACGGCTTCAAAGCCGTCTGTGTTGTTTCTTTCAGAAGGCAGTGAGATTCCAGCCTCAACGTTGATGGACACTTTGCTAATGAAAGATTTTAAACTCATCATTAACGAACTAGCCTATGATGTTCGGTGTCACAAGAAAGGTAAGCCACGGCCCTCCATCCACCTTAACTTTTGCTTTAGTGGGAGCTTTTACAGGGAGCAAAGCAACCTAGGTTTTGCTTTGAGAACAGTTTCCGGAGATGTTACGGAATGGCCATTTTCCTCCTTCCAAAGCATGAGGGCGATTTCCCCTGATTTTTACCATGGGAACTGGGCAGAGCTCTCAAAAATGGAGGTGTGCTACCTGAATCCCCTGGGTTGTGAAATCACGTGTTTCACACAAGGTGCCTCCAACAAGTTTTCAAGCGCTGCCAGGTAAGCTGCACTTCTCAGCCCCTCTCCTCAGCACTGGGAGCCGTGGTTTTCCCTGCCACCTCAGTCTACCAGTCAGCTACTAACCAGGACTGACCCTGCTTAGCTTCCGAGAGCAGACCAAACTGGAAACGGTCAAGGTGGTAAGGCTGCACACCGCGCACAACCCTTGCAGCTCTCAGGAGAGCGACTGACTTTCCGTCTGCTGCCCTTTTGTTTTAAGAGGCTCACAGGCCAGCTCTGAAACTAGAAGTCTTAACTCTTTAAACAGTCTGCTTTTAATTTCAAACTGTAGGCTGAACCATCGTACACGGAAAATCAGAGATCTGCAACTTTTTGAATGCTGGTATAACACGTGTGGGAAATTCCACACTGGAGTCCTTGTGATGGGTTGTAGTCAGAATGCAGATGCACAGAGGGTGGGGGGGGAATATACCAGGGGACAGAGTGTTTGTTTAGCATAATATATGTACATGTTATACATATGATAAAATCACCTTCAGTCTATCTATAAAGGGTATATATGAAATGTGAACATTGTGTTTACCTGAGTCCAATCCCCATGCCATCACACAAAGATTCCAAAATCTGAAACATACGTAAAATCTGAAATAAGTATCTGGTCCCGAGCATTGTGGGTAAGAGATACCCAACCTGAAATATGGTCAACATTAGCAATTTGCTTCTGACGTTTCTCTTACCACCACTCCGCATATTGCTTCTGTCCCTTTCTTCCCGTATGGCGTTCCCATCATGCAGACGTCACGCTTCTTGGGGTTGTCACACAGTTCGGTATCTCTTAGCCTTCCCCTCTCTCCTTTCTCTTCTTCAGCTTTGGAGGTTTCTTTAGATGGATCTTCAAGCTCACACCGATTCTTGCGTCCCCAGTGTCTAGTCACTGATGGGAGTCACCCTGGGGTGAGGTGGATACCATTTCTAGAGTTCCTGTGGTTGTTTCTTAGCCTTTCCATCTCTCTATTCACTCTGTACTCTTAAACGCTGTTCACCTTGTCCATGACCCTTTAATACAGATCCTCGTGCTGTGGTGACCCCCAATCATAAGATTATTCTCACTGCTACTTTGTAATTGTAATTTGCTACTGTTATCATAATGGAAATATCTGTTTTCTAATGGCCATAGGCAACCCCTGTGAAAGGGTCATTGAACCCCTGAAGTTGAAAAACATTAGATTAGAGGCTTTATGACATTAATCAGTTTTCCTTCATAGTACACTAGTTCAGTTTTGTCAACTTGACAGAAAATAGAGTCATCTGAGAAGAAGGGGCCTCAATTGAGGAAATGCCTCCATAAGACTCCCCTATAGGCAAATCTGCGGGGCATTGTTTGATTCATGATGGATGTGGAAGAGCCCATCCTGCTGTGGGTAGTGCCACCCTGGGCTTGGAGGTTCCAGATTGTTTTAAGAAAGCGATCTGAAGTATAGGCCGCTGCCCTGAAGACCAGCCCCAAGCGCTGACCAACTCAGCTGCTATCCAAGCCCAGATCTAGCACTTCGAGTGGGTCCACCCCCACATCTCCATCCAGGAGCTGCAGGAGCAGATGAAGGAGCTGGAGCAGCAGCACCAGATCCAGGAAAAGTCATCGCCATTGAGGGTGACAACCGGAAGAAGCACAGCTGTGAAACACCCAGCACCCAGCACCATGGAGCAACTCGGAGGAGCCTGAAAGAGACCCATGGAGGCTCTGAGGGGAGATGAGGCAGGGGCTGGCAGAGGAGTCCTCAGAGCTCACAGTGTCCCTGGAAAAATCTAGAGAAGGAAAGGTCCAGGGGAAGTTAAGACACACATCTCAGCCTAATAGTTCCAAAGCTTGTGATGTAACCTATGTCTCCCTTCCAAATCCCAACATGAATGTTTGGCCAACAAAGGGCCAAGGCTAGGTCCCCAGCTCCTTCCAGCTTGTGGGAAGTGTGCTGTCTGTTGGGGCAGATGCTATGTCAGGATTGAGCTCCTGGTCCAGTGAGCCCCAATCTAACTGTTCTCAGTGTTACTGCATGCTAGGAAACCCATGTTACACAGACTGAATGAACAGGGAAGGGCACAGTGTACACAATTGGATGGAAACGGGCGAATCATACTGGATTAATTAAGGAAGAATTTATTCAGTTACAAATTTAGAGTTTAAAAAAATCATTTCAAGTCATTCTTAATCATTGGCAGATGTGAATTGAAAAGTTCAGGCCATGAAAATGAAATCTACACGGAAGACACATTAGAAAAACAACAACCATGTAATGAGTAATTGTGGGTTCTGTTAGGAGGTGCGGAAATACTCCACCAGTTTGGGTTGGCAGTTAACGCAGGAATTTGGTGCTACCCATTTCTCTGAAAGCCCAGTAGGCATTCTGTTCTGTCTTGGACAATGGCCTCCTTCCAGGAAGAGACAACAAAGTTTGTTCCTATTCCCTAACAGTACGATCAACAACCCCCGTGCACAGTCATATTAATGCATCTTTCCACATTTTGTAAATTTCTACTTTTCTCTCTGTCCCTATCTCATCCCGTCACTGTTTCTTTATTCTGCCTGTAAGACAACTATCACTTTGGGGCTGGAGAGAGGGTTCAGCAGTTGAGATGGCTTGCTGCCCTGGCAGAATACCCAAGCTGAGTTCTCAGCATCCACATGGTGGCTCACGACCACCCCTAACTCCAGTTCCAGGAGATCCACCATTAGACACACACATAGTGTACTTATATGCATGCAGAAAAAACACTCATACATATAATTTTTCTTCTTTTTTGAAACAGGGTTTCTTTGGGTAGCCCTGGATGTCCTGGACTCATTCTGTAGACCAGGCTGGCCTTGAACACGGAGATCTGCCTGCCTCTGTCTCCCAAGTGCTGGGATTAAAGGGATGTGCCACCACTGCCTGGCCAAATGAAATCAACTTCATCCTGGATCTTTTTAATGTGTTGTTGAATTTGTCTTCCAAATATTTCATTGAGAACTTTGCATCTATGTTCATGAGAGAAATTGGTCTTTAGATTCCTTTGTTGTTGTTGTTGAAATCTTACCCCGTTTTGGTGTTAGGGTAATAATGATTAGATAGGATGAGTTTAGAAATCTTACTTCCCTGTTTTATGGCCTAGTTTGAAAAATACTGGTGTTCTATCTTTGGGAGTATGATGGAATTCAGCAGCAGATCCAGCCAGCCCTGAGTTTTTCTTTTTTGTTAGAGACTCTTGTTGCTATAGTCTTAATGCTCATCGGAGATCTATTTACTTACATTTTCTTGTTTCAATATTGGTAGGTCATATGAGCCTTGAAATTTATCCATTTCTTCTAAATTTTTCAATTTACGATATTTTGAAAATGTCCCTCACTGATTCTCCAGATGCCATAACTATTGTAAAATACCTCCCTTTGCATTTTATTTTTCTTTTGATTAATTTGGTTAAAGGTTTGTCATCTTGTTTTTCTTTTTGAAAAACTTGTTCCACTAACCCACTGTTTTAGTCTGTTTCCTTGGTCCCTATCTTCCCAGTCTTTATTTCTTTCCATCTATTAAGTAGAGTTTGCCTTATTTCTGTTTATTTAAGACCCAGTGAATACATTTCAAGACATATTTGACCTGCCAATACTGAAACAGAAAGATATCAATAACCTGAAAACCAAATCTATAATGGGCAATAAGATTGGGTTATTTATTTGAGATCTAATTTTTTAATGTAGTACTCAGTTATAAACTATCCTCTCAGAACTATATATTCAGTGTTCTGGGAAGCAGTGTTCTCATTTTCATTTTGTTTTAGAACAAACGTTTCTATTTCTTTCCTGATTCTTTCCAAAGACCCACTTATTCAAAAGTCTCTTGTTCACTCTCTAGTTTTGTACAGTGTGTTGTTCTACTGATTTCTCCTGTTATTCTACTAGAAATTATAATTATTATGATCTGATAAGATGAAAGAAATTATTTTTTACTTTTCTGTATTTGTTAAGTCTTACTCTTGAGACTGTACACATACCCACGTTCATCCTTCTCAAAGCCACAGTAAAGACTCCAAAAGGAGGCAAGACAATCTGACTTCCAAAGTTGAACTTCAGACCTAAACTGTCTGGGAACTTAGCGTTGCAGATTGGCTGGAGGAGACTGAGGATCATCTAAAACCTGGTGCACTCAACTGAAATGGCACAGTTGGCCCCAGACCAGACCTCAGATGGCCAGCCACGGGGACTTGGATTTGATCGTCTAGACCAGTGGTTCTCAACCTTTGTGGTTCTGTGACCCTTTGTGGCTATTTCGTTGTTACTTCATAACTGTAATTTTGCTACTGTTATAAATTGTAATGTAAATATCTGTGTTTCCTGACAGTGTTAGGCTACTGCTTTGAAAGAGTCATTTGACCCACCCACCCCCGCCTCCACCCGTGCCAAAGGTTCATGGCCCACAGGTTGAGAACCACTGGCCGAGACTCACCTGGAGGAGAACCATGTATTAAATGCCTGTGCCTCTTTGACCTTTTCTCAGAAAAACCAAGTGCCGAGTGCACGATTGAGATGGAAAACATGAAATCTCTGGTTCACAGACTATTTACAGTCCTGCACTTAGAGGAATTTCAGAAGAGAAGAGAGCGTCACCTGATGGCAAAGATTGACCACCTGAAGGAACAGCTGCAGCCCCTGGAGCAGGTGAGTGTGTGCGGAAGCTGTGCCTCTCGCTAGTGAGTGCCGAGAGTCAGTCACAGGGACATTTGGGCGGTTTGTGTAGGCTCACTTTCTCCTTTATTCTGGAAAATGGCCTGTGAGCTGAGCATCCATCAGTGACGGAGCCTGAGAATCTGACTCCAGAGCTGACAGCATCCACCAGTAACGGAGCCGATAATCTGACTCCAGTGCTTAAGTCCTCTGCTTCCTCAGCATCAGCATCAGCATCAGCATCAGCATCAGCATCAGCATCAGCATCAGCATCAGCATCAGCTGTGAGCCTGACAAGCAGGCTGGGAAATGGGATGTGGTAAAGCGCTACATCACAGGTCTCAGCTCTGCCTAAGAACCGTGGGTGGAGAGTTAGTATGGCTTCCTTGTATCAGCTATGCTCATTTCTTTTCTCCAAATCATGGAGAAAAAAATAACTTATTTTTTTGTGGATAGGCATGGTGTGGTCTAAGAGGAAAACTTGCCTTCTTTAAGCTATAATTCTGCTTATAAAAGATGGGCAGCTAATCTTTGTATATGAATATACAGTTTCTAGAAATGAGGTCATTATTTCCAAGGGTATTGAAAAAAAATGGTACAGAAACACTTTTCTTTGTTCTCTTTTTCTGGATTATTTACATACATTTTGCTTTTCAAGAAATTGATATGCCGGGTATGGTGGTGGCTGTCTTTAAACCTGGCTCTTGGGAGGCAGAGGAAGGTAGCGTTCTATGAATTCAAAACCAGCCTGGTCTGCATAGCACGCTCCAGGCAAGAGAGGGCTCCACCTGTATAGCGAGACCCTGCTCCAAGACAGGAAACAGAACAGGAGGAGCCACTAGAGAACCAGATCTGCACAAACTGCGTCTGCAGATGAATTCCCAGAAGTGAGGATCAAGGAAAACAGGCTGTGGTTTTGGAACAGGATTTCTAGGCTTCTAATTGTAAGCATAATTGTGTTTAGGGGGTTTTACTTGTCCCTCCCCCAGCCCCTTTTTTTTCAGGCTGAGCTTTAACTCACAGAGATCCTCCTGCCTCTGCCTCCTGAGTGCTGGGATTAAAGGAGCAGGACACTATGCCTGGCTAATATGTTTGAGTAGATTTTACCTTTACAGTTAAAAAAACAAAGGATTGATGAACTGACTTAGAAGTGAGCAGTTATGCATCCTTCATAAATCTCCTCATTCTACACGCCTGACCTATTCACATTAATGAAAATTAAGCACTGGCTCAAATGTTTCTTGTTGCTTCTGTTTGCCCCTTAAGCTGGCAAACTTGTAAACCAAATGAATGGTTCTCCTTTCCTTCAGGTCAAAGCTGGAATAGAAGCTCGATCAGAAGCCAAAACCAGCGGACTCCTGTGGGCCGGCTTAGCCCTGCTTTCCGTGCAGGGAGGGGCACTGGCCTGGCTTACGTGGTGGGTGTACTCCTGGGATATCATGGAACCAGTCACCTTCTTCCTTACGTTTGCAAATTCCATGGTCTTTTTTGCGTACTTCATCATAACCCGACAGGTGAGTAGTAAGGGAAGTCAGAACATCTGTCTGAAGAGTCCCTCCTCCAAGCCAAGCAGTGTCTTGGTTAGGGTTTCTACTGCTGCGATGAAACACCATGACCTTTTGGTACCTCGGGGAAGAAAAGGTTGATTTGGCTTACCTATCCTGAATCCCGGTCCACTGATGAAAGCCAAGGCAGGAACTCAAACTGGGCAGGAACCTGGAGGCAGGAGCTGGTGCACAGACCAGGGAGGGGTGCTGCTTACTGGCTTGCTCCTCATGGCTTGCTCAACCTGCTTTCTTTCTTTTTTTTATATTTATTTATTTATTTATTATATATACAATATTCTGTCTGTGTGTATGCCTATAGGCCAGAAGAGGGCACCAGACCCCATTACAGATGGTTGTGAGCCACCATGTGGTTGCTGGGAATTGAACTCAGGACTTTTGGAAGAACAGGCAATGCTCTTAACCTCTGAGCCATCTCTCCAGCCCTCAGCCTGCTTTCTTATAGCACCCAGGACCACCAGCTTTCTTAAAGCACCCAGAACCAGCGACCCAGGGGTGGCACTGCCCAAAACTGAACCTGACTCTCCCAATCACTGATTGAGAAAATGCCCTACAGGCTTGCCTACAGCCTATCTAGGATCTCAACTGAGGCTTCCTCCTCTCAGATAAATGTAGCTTGTGTCAAGTTGACATAAATCTAGCCTGCACAAGCAGCAATCGATAAAACCCTTTCATGTGCTGAGATTTCTGAAGCAAACAATTTTTTTTAACAAGGTTGGATGGATGGATGGATGGATGGATATAAAATACAAATTTAAATTCCTACAGAATTAGTGTAAACACATGAACTCCTCCTCCATTGGGATGAATGCTGCATTCATGTTCTCTGTGCCCTCACTAACCAAGGACATTGAATGTGCACCACGAAAGTTAGCAATATCCAGTAACTAGCTTGTCGCAAGGTTGCTTTGCTCAATCTTGCCGCTTTTCTTCTTCTGCAACGTGTGCATTTTCTCTTCCCAGCCTGCCTGCTAGTAAGAGGGGCAGCTACTCAACTCGGGCCGCATGCCCTACTTCTGTGGGTTGTTTGTGCCGTGAACAACCCTTTCTTCTCCCCACGTGGCCTCGTTGTCGCTGAGTTAGTATCTTCACTTGAACTACGCACTCTCCTCTCTCCTTTAGAACTACACCTACTCTTCCCTTCGGAGCAGGCAGTTTCTTCAGTTCTTCCACAAGAAATCGCAGCAGCAGTGCTTTGATGTGGAGCAATACAACAAGCTAAAGGAGGACCTCGCGGAGGTATTTTTTTCCAAGTGCTTCTCCAAGCTGGTTTTGTTTGGGAGACGGGGTAATGCATTGTAACTGTTGGTTCATTCATTTTTCACAGGTTGGCAAATGTTGGGCTGAGATTTTCATGTATTATTTAGCATTGTTCTGTCTCTCTGTTTGCATGTATGCCTGCAGGCCAGAAGAGGGTGCCACATCTCATTACAAATGGTTGTGAGCAAGCATGTGATTGAACTCAGGGCCTCTGGAAGAGCAGTCAGTGCTCTCAGCTGCTGAGAATCTCTCCAGCCCCTTAAAATTTAAGCTTTTTTCTGATAACTTTGCTATGTGACAGTAGTGGGGATTGAATCGTGGCAAGCGCTTTTCCACTGTGCTACACCCTAACCCCTGCATGGGATTTTTTGTCTTTTTAAAACGTATATGAACTGGCTGGGAAGTGGTGGCACACACCCTTAATCCCAGCATTTGGGAGACAGAAGCAGGTGGATCTCTGAGAGTTTAAGGCTGGCCTGGTCTACAAAGTGAGTTCTAGGACAGCCAAGAGTTTTACACAGAGAAAACCTGATTCAAAAACCAAAACCAAACCAAACCAAAAGTATGTGAACTGAAAAAAACAAAACCCCGACAGAAAGGACTACCAGGTAGTTCCTTTTCAGAGCGTCATGAGGTCAAATGAAGTCATGAACTCATCTTTTAAGAAAGGACTCCTAAGGCTGGGCAGAGTAGACACACCTTTGATGCACCCCAGCACTGGGGAGGCAGGCAGATCACTGTGAGTCGAGGCCAACTTGGTCGACATATCCAGTTTCAGGACAGCCAGAGGTACACAGTGAGACCCTGTCTCAACAAAACAACTGAGCAAACACATAAATCCATCAAAAAAAAAAAAAAAAGGATTCAAACAAGGCCTTTACATCAGTGATTTAAATGTTTTCTTGCCCTAAGGAGAGGTTAAATTTTTACAATTCCTCAAACAGCAGTACTGTATTTCTTGTTTTCTCTGATCACTTTTTCCTCCTCACCACAGGCCACAGAATCCCTGGAGACCGTGCGCCACGCCCTCCATTTGCGACTGCCGGGAGAGGAGCTCAAGGAGAAGAATTAGTCCCATGTTTTTAAGCATCCCGGGCCACGTGCCTCTTTTGTAACTTACCAACCGGACATTTTTAAGGTCGTGTTCATTTCCATTTGACAGCTTCAGATGTTGTTTGGCTAATAAACGTGTGTGGAGCAGAGTACTCTGCCCTTCTCACATGAGATTCTTGGTTTGTGGATCTGTGGGGACTGAGGTTTCAGATTCTTGGTTTGTGGATCTGTGGGGACTGAGGTTTCAGAAGGCCTGTGTGCCCTGGCAAAGCCTTGGGACCCAAAGTCCTCCCCTGCTGGCCCCATGTGGAGGTAAAATGATTGGCGTCTTGTCATTCATTCACTTTGGTTCTTAGGTTCATCTGGAATCACCTTGTTAACTTGAACTTCATTTTATTTCTTGAGACAGCATCTTGTGGTGATGTGGAATTCCCCTCTGTAGGCCGTTAATATGCTTTATTACCATTGGTTAATAAAGAAGCTGTTTGGGCCTATGAAAGGGCAGAGCAGAGCAAGGCAAAAATTCCAAGCAGAGATAGGGGCAGAAAGGAGTCAGAGAGACGCCGTGTAGCCGCAAGGAGACAGATGCCTGCCCTGGAACCTTGCTGGTAAACCACACCCCTCGTGGTAAAATACACAATAATAGAAATGGGTTAATTTAAGATGTAAGGGCTAGCTAGAAATATGCATAATCTAATAGGCCGAGCAATGTTTTAATTAATACAGTTTCTGTGTGATTATTTTGGATCTGGGAGGACGGGAAATTAACAAGCAGCCTCCATCTACAGTGCACTGTGGCTCAAGCTGCCTTGTAGTCTAAACAATCCTCTTGCCTAAGTTTTTGGGTGCTGTAATTACAAGGACGAGTCATTATATCCAGTTTCTTTCTTTTTTTATTATGCAACAGTTGTTATGACTAATGCTTTATCAAAGGTCCAAATGCCCCACTAGTCAACTGCAGCTGAAGCAAGGCATCTAAGGCAATGTTTTTTTTGTTGGTTTATTTGTTGTTCTTACATCCCAACCAAAGGTTCCCTTTCTTCCCTTCTTCCCAACTCCTCCCCCCAACCTACCCTCTGTCTCCCCTCCACTGTTTCATCTCAGATACTGAAAGGCCTCCCATGGATATCAGCCAGCCATGGTATATCAATTTGCATTGAGACTAGACACCGCCTCTTCAATAAGGCTGGATGAGACAATACAGTAGAAGGAATGGGTCCCCAAAGCAGGCAACAGCATCAGAGACAGTCCCTGCTGTTACTGTTACTCACAATGAGACCAAGTTACGCAACTGTAACATATATGCCGAGGGCCTAGGTCAGTCCCATGCAGGTTCCCTGGTTGTAGGTTCAGTAGTTTCTGTGAGTAAAGTATTGCTTTTATACCAGTGACTTATGTGTTTCTGTTCCCAAAGCCCCAAATATTAACCCATTAACTAGCAAATTATTAGTAAAATATTATTCAAAATGTTATGTCATGTTAACAAGAATTTAACCTTAAAAGTAAAATTAACTAAACATTTAATGAGTCTGCTAAAAATGTCAGGCTCTTCCAGTTGAAGTCACTGTAGAATCACATTCTGACAGATGTTTGGCCTATCGTGGCTAGGAGTTGTTACTGCATGTATGTACGCCAGAGTACCCAGGCATCCCTGTGGGGGGCCTAGAGGGGCTAAGAGTCTTTACATGTATGCTTGGAGTGACTTGGTGTCCACTGTGTGTTGGATCATATGGCTAGGTGTCACCGCACATGTGCCCGTAGTAGGTAGGTGTCAGGCCTGTGTGCTTATATTGTTCAGGTGTCATTCTGTGTGTGCATCTAGATATTACTTGTTTGTTTCTTTTATTTTTAAATATTGTTTTAAACAACCTTTTTTAATTTTACATACCAATCCCAGTTTCCCCCTCTCTCCCCTCCTCCTGCTCCCCTCACATTCTCCCCCTCAACCCTCCATCCACTCCTCAGGGAGGATAAGGCCTCCTATGGGGAGTCAACCAAATGTCACATCACCTTGAGGCAGGACTAAGCCACCCCCTCCTCCGTATCTAGTGCTTAGATATTATGTGTACCTATGGTGGGTTAAGTGCCTGTCACGGCATGTGTGACTAGAGGGCCTGTGTATCACTGTATACTGTATTAATCCTCTGAGTGACAAAAAATAATTCTTTAAGGCTCATTTATTTTTTTCCAAAATGGGAATTAAATTTATACACAAAATACCTTAATTAGAGGTAAATAAGAAAATCAACAGATACATGACCAAGTAAAATAGGTCACTATAAATTACATAAGCTATGAGTTTTAGATATTTCAACTAAATGGAGACAACCTCATTCTGAGTTTCAAAAACCTTGAAAAACATTAAAAAACAAACGTATAAACGTAAGGCACACCGGTTGGTATTTTGAGTAGCTTTACATTCACTATGAATGTAATAAAAGGTAGTAGACATTTCTGCAGAGTAATTTCCTGAGGATTTCTCTTAGCCCTTTCATCATCTCCAACATGATTAAAAATGGACAAACATGAAACACCACTTTCCACGGCATTTTACATGGATGCACCAAAGGCTTCATCCAACTGATGTTTGTGTAAGAGGAAAATATGTGTAGACAAGACCAATGACCACAGCTACTTACTAGGCTTGGGACAGAAATGCAGCTTTTTGGTCAGCATCGAGGCAAAGCAGGGGACCTGCTTCTTGCCAATTGCACCCGGGTCTTTGCAGAAGTCCACGCGGCGCTGAGAGACCATTCTGTTCACCAGCGTGAGCAGCTCCGTGAACTCTAAGGAACTGCCGTACCTCTTCAGCATCTCACACAGATCCTGGATGTACCAGGAGCCGTTCACAGTCTCTCGGTGAGAATAATACCCTAAAAGAAGATGGGGGAGGTGCTTTATGTCCTTTGCTTCAAGGTGACCGAGAACACTGTGATGATGAATACAGTCACAGAAATGAAAGCTCTTGGAAGTCCTTGGAAAAGAATAAGGTGTGCCACTCACCATGTGGCCACGGTTCTATCTATTGCTTTGTCTCATGTAGGAAAACATATTAATTCTATGGTTTTACATACATAGAATTCATTACATTTCCTCCACTCTCTAAAAAGGAAAACTAGAACAAGACAATAGTCAGTGATTTTGCGAGGCCAGTGATTAAACAAAACCATTCAGTTCAAAAACAAAGAAATTAGCGAAAGGATTTTCCGCAAGGCTTTCCACAAATATAGCCAGAAAGACCCTGCTATTCTATCACCAAATGACAGCAAGCTGCTAATACCAATACAATTACACAGCTCTGTGGCTGATGTTATTATGTTATAATAAAATTATACAGGAAGGATATTGTTATTCCATACGGTATTTTACATTTCATTTATTAGAAAGGATTTCTTCAACATGACTATGTCTGTGGCTTTTTAATAGAACACGGAGATTTAACCTTGAAAGACCCAATCCAATTCAAAGGTGACATAAACTTGAGGCAAGAGCACACAGGCTTCTAGGTGGCACTCCACTCACTCACCTTCTGCGACAGAGTAACACATGAGGAAGTCCGCCCCCGCGGGCAGCGTGTACACGGAGGCCGCGTCCACCTGGGTTGTGTTGTCCTGCATGTCTGTCGGATGGTCCACCACGTCCAGAGGAACCACCGGTACGTCATGCTGGTTGCCCCGACAGGCCTACAGAGGAAAGCACCCTTTTATTATCTGTCTGCTGCTTTGTTCCCAATGCTTGAGGTGCAGTGAGACTTTCTAGGCCAGAAAATCCCTCCCCGCCTTAGTAACAGAAACCACATAAGCAATTCAAAAACAATGCAATCAGGTTCTGAGAGAGATGAAAAGCTAACACAGCTGCTTCCCTGGAAATGTTTGCTTTTAAACGATGTTTACAACCCCAACCCCAATAAACACCAAGATATGCTTCTTTTTAAAAACTGTCAACCTTACCTAAATGCTTTTTTAAAGATTATTTATTTATTTATTTATTATACAATATTCTGCCTGCACATATGTCTGCAGCCAGAAGAGGACTAGATCTCATTACAGATGGTTGCAAGCCACCATGTGGTTGCTGGGAATTGAACTCAGGACCTCTGGAAGAACAGCCAGTGCTCTTAACCTCTGAGCCATCTCTCCAGCCCCACCTAAATGCTTTTATTCAATCAGGTGATGACTTCCAAATGCTATTTTCCCTATCTGGTTTTGGTCATAATTTGTCGATGGTTGAAACAGCATTGCCTGACTCAAAAAGACATCGATCTATCCACATGCCTTCACCTTCTGGATTTCAATGGTTAAAAATTAAGTACCTAAGGTGGTGGTACTGGCCTTTAGTTCCCAGCACTAGAGAGGCAGAGGCAGGTGGGTCTCTGTGAGTCCGAGGCTAGCCTGGTCTATAGAGTGAGTTCCAGGACAGCCAGGATTACACAGAGAAACCCTGTTTTTAACAAACAAACAAGCAATTAAGTTGCTATGTGAATGTTCATATGTGAGTACAGGTGCCCCCAGGGTTCAGAAGAGGGTGTTGGGTCCCCTGGAGCAGGGACCAGAACTCAGATGCTCTGCAAGAACAGCAGGGGGTGCCACTAACCAATGACCCTCCCTCCAGCCCTGAGCCTGCATGCTCTCTCTGTCTCTCTCTCTCTCTGTTCCCACTTTAAAGTGAGTTCTAAATTTATAACTACTAATTCCAAGTCAAAGCTAGCATTAAATTCTTTTATTTTCTGGTTTGAGGACCTCGTGTATGTTGGGCAAATGGTCTGTGCCATTGAGCTAAATTCTACTCTTCAGTGTTACAGGCTAAACTGTGCTCCACCCTGAAATTCATAAGCTCAGGTCTCCAATGTCAAATAATATTTCTCATGCTCCAACATTTGCTTTTAATTTCTGAAACTATTTGGCAGCTTGACAGTGAGCTTCGGAAGGTGTGAAAGGGATGAGGCAGGAGAGGACTGGCCTGCTTATTCCTACCTCACTTTCACTGGCTTGCATGCACTCCGGCTCCCACAGACCTGAGTCCAGGCTGCCATGCATGGTCCTGTGCAATCGACTCTTCCCTTCAATGGCTCATCCTCCACACCCAGCCCAGTCACAGAGAGACACTGGTGATTATCTGTCATATCAAATGTTAATCAAAACCCTTTTTTGTTTGTTTGTTTGTTTTTAAGA